AGTGACGCAAGATGGCATCTCAGACAGTGAGTTTTAGGCACCAATCATAGGGTGGCAAAGCGGGAAGCAAGCAGATCTGACCCATTTGGGCACAATCCACAGGGGTGGTCTCCAGCTCATTTTGAGTGGGACTTGCACTGGAGGGCTTCACAGGGTGGGTTGGGCCCCGTATTAATTAGGGAGGGGTGGGGGCATTTGGGTTTTCCACCTCAGGCACCAAAACATTCGGGGGCAGCTATAGGTCCTGCATTATCCTCCCAAAGGAGGAAACCAGGATAGCAGCTTTTTAGTAATCAGGTACTGGGAAAGGGATGCGATTCTGTTTAGAGAGCAGAAGGTTCCTTCTTGGCAGTTTCCAACTGGATATTCATACCACCAGAAATGAAATAAAATATTTGACAGAGGAATTAAGTGTGTTCCCTAGGCTTTATTAGATGAACACACTGATCTGCTTCTGATCCAATGCCAGCACTTTTTAGATGCATTTTTTGATGCTGAACTACATATAGGCAGCAGTGTGGATGGACCAGCTTGTACTTTGCATTATTTTTACCGCTCGCCCTCCTTGAAAAAGTGCAGAAAGATTTTTCACCCGACATGGAATACAAATGATCACTTTACCTTGTGGTTATAAGCAGGTGGTGTCCTGCTGGCAGACAGTGGGGTGGAGACGCACAGCAAATACATAAGCTGGTGGAAAGGCAGAATATAATTCTGCAGAAGAAATAAATGCATTTCCGGGGACAACACAAGGTGAATGGGGAGGCAGCTCCCTGTCAACACTCTGCAGTGCTCAGGAGGGGCATTGGACATCCAAGGAGATTGCATATATGTTGAGCATCACCCGTGCAGCGTCAGCAGCCTAAGCTACTGAGTATTAGGGGTTTCCACTTCCATGCACAGCTCTGCATTGTGGCCTCAAGGTAATGCACTACATTTTAGCAGTGTGCCTTTAGCAATTGGTTTCAGTGAATGTATATCCCTCCATCATGCATTTGATGCAGGAAGTTGAAATGTGTGCAGAGGAGGGCATATCGCCCCACAGCTCAATCGAATCTGTATGTATGCATTGCAGCAGGTAAGGGGGAAACTCTTGGGTGATCCTGCTGCCCAAGGTCTCTGGGTTAATGTAATAAATATAAAGGCAGTAGTCGTCACCAATTGCCACTGGAAAGAAATTGGCATGCAAGTTCTGGTGTGCTAGAAAATGTTGGCAGTCATATTTTTAAAACATTACGGTGTTAACATTTGAACACGCAAAACAAGGGTCACTATGCTGTTATTGAGAGGATTCTTTCCAGAAAGGCAGCCTAGAACCATCTAAAATGAATAGACTTGTGCAGACGTAGCATTTAAAAAAATGTATTTTGTAACAGGAGCTTTAGAGAAAATGTTCAATAATGGATCCATATGGACCCAGAACAAAGGAATCTCTGGATTTCGTATTTAACATAGCTCAGGTTTAAAATTACAATTACTTCAACCAAGACATAGATTGCACACGCCATGTTTGCAAACAACACAATACAGAATGGACACCGCACTCTTCTAAAGTTACCCTCTGACACCAAAATTAAACTTAAAGAATTGAAGGTCTCGGCAGAACATTTGAATTAATTTGACAACAGAGCCCTAGGAAGATGAAGGCAAAATTCACATGTACAATTAAACAGGGAAATGAGGTTTAAAGCACAGTATCACTAACAAGGAACTCTGGTGAGCACTGACTGGGCTAGTTACTAACCTCTCCCTGTTAATTTTCTCCACCATCCTTTTCATAAACTTCAGCCTCAACGGTAGGCAATGGCATTTTTTAAAAAACAGAATATACTTAATCAAATTAGCAGCGATCTACTTTCTTCCACCAGAGAGGTGGCAATGATAGCCCCAGAATGCTTCCTCATTTCACCCCCAGTAACGTATAGATAACTAAAACATGTCATGTGACACCCCCTTGTTGCAAGCTTCTCTGCCCCTCTCCCCTCTACTTCACTGACAGGGTAGGAAGCAGAAGATGCTACGCTATCTTGTCACGTTCCACATGTTAGTTTACTAGACAGGCCCCAAAGGGCAGATGAGACCCAGGGTTGCCGTTTCCGGCAGTAGCCGTGCAATCTCTGCATTGTCACATTTCACCAATAATAAGGCAGGCAAGCAGGAATACTGATCTCCTGGAAGAAACACCGAAGAGGAGACGAGAGATGATAAATGGGTTAAAATATAAATTGCAGAAGGAACAGTCTGAAGCAGGGGTGGGGAGAGTGAGTGCAAGCAAGACTGAACGGAGAGAAAGAGAGAGACACAGAGAGAGAGAACAAAGAGAGAGAGAGTGTAGAGCACAAAGCAACAAGCAGCCAAAGATGGAGCTCAGAGCAAGAAAATGAAAAGCCAAAGAGCAGAAGACAGTGCACAGAGCACGAGACAGCAGAGTGCGAGAGAGCATGCAGAAAAATGACTCGCTGCCCCAAACCTGAAGAAAATGAGCTTCTGATCAGAAGAAGCAGCCGCAACAGACCTTAAAAACACTCCTAAAATTAGAAAGCTGCCTGCAAACTGCAAAGCTATTCCCTTTTTACATCCAAGTGCAGGGCCAGGAGGCCGAGGTTTCGGTTGCCCAAGTCTAGATTAAAACTACGCGTTAGTAACTAACTCCGTACTCTTCAGCTCGGCTGAGCAGTGCAACACATTCCCCAAGGAAGGGGCTGAATGTCCTTCATTTACCAGCTCCTAGGAGTCTCTGGGGTGGAACCAGATGCTACAAGGAGCAATCGCGAAAAGGGGGGATGAAAAAATGCACAAAATGACCCGTCTCTCTCTCACACACACACACTTACATGCTACACATGACCAGGGTGAGAAGAGGCAAAGCAGCAGCAACAACACAGGACAGCAGCATCTCCATCCTTCTTGCCATAGCTGCTGTTCCCCCCCCCCTTGGATTTACCTTTCACTACTGGCAAAGGTGTGGTGAACTGTATCCCAGCGGGACTAGCTTATTCCTTAGAATCTCTTCTTGCTCTCGACAGCCATATATAAACTTAAGGATATTACCAGCTCTTGACCCCACCTGGAGTTCCATGAAACATGCAGTAGTGGCTGCAGGAGGAAATCTATTCTCCAAGAACACAAGAAAAGTTAGACCCAGTGTTCTCTCAATCACCACTCAAGGTATAAGATCTGCAACACTCGTGGGAAGTTCTGGGGGGGAAAGTGTCTTTGTCCTCAAAGGATGCTACAATCTTGGTCGTCTCCCAAGAAGTTCTCCTGGACTTGTAACAATTCTCTGATGTTGGCGTGCTTGCTTGCACTTCCACAAGAGAAGACCTTCCCGGGTCTTCTCCTTGCAGCAAATGTGGGCTCCAAACTATCAACAGTCATTTGACAGTTGTCAGTGCCAGAGAATTTTAAATAAGTGTGGCCATTACAATAGCCCTGAGTGGCCTCTAGCCCCTATGTCACAAGGAGACGCTTCCACAGGCACAAGGGCAACAGTTCCCGCGCTCACACATGGTAGACCTCTTCCTCTTCCATAGCATGGTTGGTGTATCCTGGAAGCTGGACCAAAGTGTTGCGCCTTATGATGTCCCAACCGCAGTTTGAGCTCCTCCGCGATAAATTGGGCGTGTCAGAAGGAGTGCCGATGGGCACCTGCCTCGTTGAGCAAGGCTGTCCTCCATCTTCTGCCCCCGCTGGCAATTTGCGCTTCAGGTACTTTTCAAAGGCATCCCTTCGGTGGGGCTCAAATGTTTTAGGCTGCTTCGGCTGCCGGTTTTCACAACGACTTTCAACCCTACAGGCAAGAGAGAAACAAAAAGAGGAAATGGTTTACTGCCCAGGTTTGGTTCTCATTCCAAACTGAAGACAAAATAGCTTTGTTGTGACTAACTGTAATGTTAAATCAGCATGGCCAACTGTAGCATTAAAAACTTGTCAAAAACCTGAGCCAAAGGTGTATGGAAGACTATCGGGCACAGTGTTGCCTTTAGACTCATAACTAGAAATATCCTTGAATCTTTTTCTGGAAAACGGCTGGAGAGACTTAGTGAAATGAAAGCTAAAAATCCAGAGAAGCCCAAACCACTGCTCAACTTGGAGTTAGGGAAGCAGGATGGACCAAGATGCTTTACGTTTGTTTTGCCTTAAACTTAACATTTTGTGAATTCTGTGAAAGACCTTCTACCTTTCCCCCATAACTGATGCACTATGTCCTTGTTTTTAAATTCTGAATCAGGAGAGAGAGGAAATCTGTTCTCCTTGCTCCGACTCCCCTAGCGCAGCAGCAGCAAAGAGAGGGCAATCAGCTTTGGCCAATTTCTCTCCCCATCATCTGGCACTTTTACTATACAGTGCATAAATTTAACCTGTGGGATTCATTTGCACAAGATTTGCTGGAAGCTAAGTAGGCCAGAATTAATTATGCATGTGATCATGACCAGTAAGAGCTCAACGCAGATTAGCAAGAAGACAATACAGCTATGATTATACTCCACGAAGGCCATTTTCTGAATGGCAGTTTACAAGAGCCCACTAACCCTGCTGGCAGGTTCATTCATTTCCCCTCCAAACTACAGGGGTGCAGAATCAGACAGGCACCAAGAATAGATTCCCTGCACAAATGCAGAATCCTCTACAGAGCCAGTGCCCTGTGTATGATCTGCCCCCATAACCCAGTACTATGTGCCACCACCACCCCAAAGAACAGGACTAAAAAGAACATGTCACACCCCACATTTCCCTCTCTTCCAAATGCTGTGCCAAAACCATTTCTGCATTAATATAATCATAGGGTCTTGGAAGTGACTGCCATTTTCAGCAATTTTTCAAAACTCGTGGAAAAATATGTTTGCATTCTTTCAGTGATGTTGCTCTTCGTGGCTCTATTTTGCTGCTTCTGGCCCCTTGTAGTCTTCAGCTTCATGCACCCGGGTACAAGTGCCACTTTGTTCTGCTGGCTGTGATGGCAACCCCCGTGATTTGTTCAATGATATAGTCAAGTACCTGGATAGCTCAGTTGGTTAGAGTGTGGTGCCAATATTGCCAAGGCTGCAGGTTTGATCTCCGTGTGGAACAGCTGCATATTCCTGCATTGCAAGGGGTTGACCCAGACAAGCCTCAGGGTCCCTTCCAACTCTACAATTCTATGTAACAATGCTATGTTTCATGTGGTGAAATCATGAGCACACAGCATCACACAGGGTTGCAACAGCCAACTGGGCAAATTCATCCGTGAGGGCAATGAACAATCAGGCCAGTGGTATTAAGCAGCAGCCAAGGGGGAGAAAGGAGTCACTGGAATAGCAGCAGAACAATGCAAATTATTAGTGTGAGTGCGTTGGATTTTGAGGCCGAAGGCCAGGATCCCTTGCAGCAGAATGGGAAGGAGGGCCCTCAAATACAAGACAGTCTCTGGATAATCACATTTTGACGGGAGTGATGCTGCCTAAAGAAAAAGCATCCCTGGGGGAGCATTAAGTCCACAGAATAAAACTGCCCAACTTGCATCATTGCAAATGCACTATTTTCTGAGCAAATATTGAAATCAATGAACGTTATTTGCAATCATCCTTCCCTGCCCCCTTGCTGGTTGCCTCAGATTTGACCTTTAAGAGTAGCAAACCTATCTGATGATGCAGTAAGGTTGCTTTGGGATATGGCGTTGTATTTTCACCCCTTGGCAGAGTCGTTTACAGTACAGTGGTACCTCGGGTTACATACACTTCAGGTTACATACGCTTCAGGTTACAGACTCCGCTAACCCAGAAATATTACCTCGGGTTAAGAACTTTGCTTCAGGATGAGAACAGAAATCGTGCAGCGCAGCAGCAGCAGGCTAAAGTGGTGCTTCAGGTTAAGAACAGTTTCAGGTTAAGAATGGACCTCCGGAACCATTTAAGTACGTAACCAGAGGTACCACTGTGTTATATACAAATATCCATGGGCTTCGCTGACTAGCTGCGGTAGTGAAATGGTCCAATTACTAACCAGAAAAAAATACATTAACAGGCCACTTGTGCATTTGTCCCACAAAATGAGCGGCTCAGCCTTTATCTCAAAACGATGGCCGTCCTTTGGCAGTAGCCCCATTCAAGTGTTCTAAAAACCTCATGTGATGTGGGGTTGACCTACTGCTGTCCACATCCACCTTGCCCAAGTTGGAAGGAGGGCACCTGAAACACAAATCCTGCTCTCCCGGTGTAGGCCGCAGATTTAGAACCTGAGACAATCAGGGTTGAACAATGTATGGAGAACCTACACAAAGAAAAACAGCTTCCTATGCAGATATTGCACCAGCAGCCCATGGGGGGTGACGGTATGTGTGGAGCTGGTCCAACTCCGCTTCGCAATACATAAACTGCACCAAAGATATCCTCCACATTTGTTTCTCTGTTGAGAGAAACGGGCAAGGTCTTCTCTCTCCTCTGCTCCCCGCTTCCCACCATAGTTCAACACTCAAGGGAGAAGCACAACTGTCAGAGCAAAGCTCTTCCACTTGAATGCAGCTTCAGTCTTACGACATAAGGATTATATGAAGCTTCCATTCTCAGTGGCCTGAAACTGTATGTCCGTCCAGGGAAAAGAAATGCTTCCCCCTTGTGTTCTGCTGGGGAAAGTACGGGGTGGCGGTGCAGAGATCAATGGGGCATCTCCAGATCGAGACAATCATGACAAATCACTCCGTACTTTGTCATACCCCCTAGGCAAAGGGGTAGAATTACCCTCCTTGCAAATGCAACTAATTCAATTATATGGAGCTATGAGAGCGACGGCCTCTTGCCTTTACCAGCTGTTACCATTCCTGTGCCAACTCCCGAAATTCAAGTTACCAGCGAGTGCTGATGCAGTGCTTGGAGTGTCTCTGTGTATCGTTGAGGAGGGTGGCTAAGGGAGGTTATGAGCCCTGCTTTACAGAAGACAAATCTTCAATTTTGAAGGGCTATCAGAGGACAATCCTCTGTCTGAAAGTGTCAACTGTCTGAGGGCTGTCTAGTCCAAGTCTGGTTTAAAGATAAGGAACCAGAAAAGATAGAAAGCATGAACCTTGGCAATCACCTATCAACACAATAATTTAAAAATTAAAAATTACACAACCAAATGGAACAATTTCTACATAGGTTGCAACAAAATCTAAATGACAACAGCAACAAAAACCGTCCCCCCAAAACCACCCAGCCAGAAGAATGAACAAAGTAGGGATGCAAACTAGGGGCAAGCATTCATCACAGCAGTGATGAATGAGGCAAGCATGTCTGCACAAATCAGTAGCCAGCAGTAGAATGAAGGCAAGCAGGCCCCCATTCATTTTTATGAATGCCCCACCCTGCTCTCCCCCAAGCCTTACTGTGGGGAAGGAAGATGTACTGAGCAGCACAGGGCTCCAGCAAAGACCTGATGGTCCTCTCCTCCTTCAGGAAAAATTGCCCCCTGAGCATCTTATTCCAGCAGGAGAGATGACAGTTGTAGCCCACCTCATCTCCCACAGGAGGAGAGGTCCAATAGGTCTCTCCCCATGTTTTCAGTTCCCTCTGCTTCCTCATATACCCCTTCTCTTTCCCCCTTGGCCAGCTATTCTTCCCAATGAGTGTTGCAAACAACCAGAGAACCCCCTTGAGGTTTCAGCATGTTTGACATAGACACTTGACTGCAACTGACTTGTCAGAAGAGCAACTTGGTGTAGGCCCATTCCTAGATCAAACCATCTCCTTGATCAAAATGTTGTGCAAATTACCAAAAAAGCTAGACGTTAAATCCAGATATTTCAGTGCTGCTAGGGCACATCTAGCTGCCTTTTGCAGCTATTTTAATATGTGACTGGCAATAGCCTGCAAGGACAAGGCCACAGGTGGAACTTTTTTCCAGCCAAACTGCATGGGGTTCTTTTAACTGGAGATGCCATAGACTGAACCTGGATATCAATGCAGGCACACCGTGGACTCTACCACTAAGTGATAAATCTTAAAGTGACTCTTCAAGGTCATCTGGTACTCAGTTCTATTACCAGAAGAGTATTTCCCTGGAGAGTTACGTAGGCAAAGTATACAGCCTCAACAGCTGTTCTCACCTAAATCGCATGGAATCTTCCTACAAGTGTGAATATAATCAATAGATGAATGCAGACTTCACACATGGGTATAGGTAAAGGTAAAAAGGTAAAGGACCCCTGGATGGTTAAGTCCAGTCAAAGACCACTATGGGGTTGCGGGGCTCATCTCGCTTTCAGACTGAGGGAGCCAGCGTTTGACTGCAGACAGCTTTCTGGGTCATGTGGCCAACATGACTAGACAGCTTCTGGCGCAATGGAACACCGTGATGGAAACCAGAGCACATGGAAACGCCATTTACCCATTTATACATACGGGTATACTTAGGGAGTAGATGCTGCTCCCTGTTGAGTGTACACATAGGGCTTACCCACACTTACTCTTTCCAGACATTGTCTGTGTCTGAACAGGGTTTGTTTGTTTTTGCCCTGCTACTTAGCGCTCAATCAGGGCAAACGTCAATTCGGGTTTTCTGCAGATTGATGTTTGCTCTTTGAAGCACAGGTTTTTGCAAGGAAAGCTCCAGAGCAACAAAAATGGGAGTTTGGACTGAGAGATTTAAATCGCAGACCATGCCTGGAAAGCCCAGGTTTGTTGCTGTGAAATGGACCTTGGAGAAAAAGGTAAACAGAAAATCATCAAATCCAATAGCCTTTACACTAGAAAGGTACAGAAAGCAATGAAAACTGAATGAAAATAATTAGAACTTGGCTTGCTGAACGGGAGTTTCCATTTCTCCAGTGCTAACTTTTAAGAGAAATGTTGTAATATTGCTCTAAGCACAACAGGTGTTCAGTTGCTAACGTTATCCTTCTGGATTGCAACCTGAAACCATTATAGTGTAATGTTTACATGAGATCCTGATTCTCCAGAATTATTCGCCTATGTCACTTGTGGAATTTTCCAAATCAGCAAAGGGGTTTTTGTTTATTGTTTTGGAAAGTTTGAACAAAATATGTCAAACTATTCCATAAACTGAAGGTTAAAGAGAAAAAGCAATATAGTTTCCACCTGCTGTGAAAGAAAAGTATGGCCATTAATTTATTGGAAAGTGCTGCAGGGATCACAGCAGTGCACGGTCACAGTTTGCCTGTGTAACTATTGTTGGCAAAGCTATTAATTTTAATAACACCAGAGGTTAGGAGTGTATCAGATATCCACATAGTACACAACAGAGAACCCAGTGCCAGCACATGACATCTGGGAAGAAGGCATTTGTGCGTATGCTTCGATTTGCTGAAGTATAATAATTAACTCCCCCCCACCCGACTCCAAATAAGATCAGCAAAGATAGGCAAATTTAGATCATGCTGGAATCTAAATGTATGCGACACACACAAAAAGGCACAAGGTTTCTTGCTTAGCAGCCACAGCACAAGGGAAGAATCTCACCAAACCAACACAGCACTGTGACTTATAATAGTTGGGAGTTGCCAGGAAATGTTGCCTAAAGCAAAATTTGGCAGTGAATGTGGAGGTCCCTGCTTGGCCAAAACACCAGAGGAATTTTCAGGGCTCTAAAAGGGGTTCATAGGCAACAGAGTTTTTTCAGATGGGATTCTATACATTTCTTGTTGTTATACTGTCCTGGCACAGAGGGTAGGCACAGACAAACCTGAAAACCGGTGCTGACCTGAAAGTTTTGCAAAAATAATGAGAGGAATTCAACATCACACTAAGGCAGTCGTTCCATCAGGGCAAACATTTTGGCTTGTTAAGACGGAATGATCCTCCTCCTGTGTGCTGTTCCTAGGGTTCTCCCATCCTCATCCCCAACTAATTCTGGGGCACAAGAGAGGGAGGAAAAACCCATTGCACAAACAGAAGTCCTCGCACAGGGCTTCTGCTGACAAGATTCATTAACCTACCCAGTAACTAGAGTCCAAGGGAGTCTTTCGGAAATGTTTAAAGCAAAGGGCTGAGAAGCTATGCTGCAATTTCCCACTGGTAAGGATCACTTCCTAAGTGAACATTAATGGAAGCATTGCCTTCCCTTTAACAGGCTTAATATGCCCTTAGTGATGTATCTGA